AGGGGCTACACTGGTGTACATTTTGGCAAAGCATTACTTCAGGGAGACTCCAGCCCTTTGACAGTTCTGGTTTAGAGATTGTTGTGACTTTCTGAAGACAAAAAAGTGAGGATGTTTTTCCCAAGATTTTTACTAACTGAAGAAGAAAACTGGATTTGAAACAAGCTAGGCAAATTTCCATTACTTCCAAAAGTGCAATGTGATGTTCTCGTGATGGTCCAGTTCCTCAGCCTCCAGTAACTGCTTAATGTAGGTAAGGTCCAGCCTGCTTATCAATCATCTGGGTTTTCCTTCCACAGGTGGTCCAGCTCCCCATCCTTCTTTGCAAACAGCCATGTTCCCTTGGGAGAGAAGGTGGGAGTCTGTTCATAACCTTCCTGCAGGCCAGGAACAGCCCCTGGGTCAGCTGCTGGACTATGTCACTGAAGTTCATATGGGTGCACTGGCAAATGTGGGTTTGTTTCCTCAAAGATAAGTTCTGTTGTCAAACAGAAGCACTTCTGCTCATACTGACCCTCTCTAGAACTCTGGAGATGAGGAAAAATCAATAAGCACAGACCAGGATAAACTAAAATAAACATTTTCAAGCTTTTACGATACTAACAAAATACTGAAAGGAAGAAAATAATCCCTGAAGGGATACACTCTGCTGACTGCCCTGGGAGAGAGCAGGGCTACTGACAAGTGAGTCTGTTTGTTCCTCACAGAGCATGCAGCCTGCAAGTTCCCTGAGCACAGGACTAGGGCCTGGCTTGCTTTGGTCTCACCCAAACGTTGTGTTTGTGGCACTGGCACCAGACAGGGATGGGGTTTGGGCTGAGGGGCTCTCAGAGACCAGCAAGGCTGCTAATTCTACCAGTCCTACTAAATTCCCTTGATTCTACAGGAACTGGCCAGGGCTCATTCTGAAGCAGGGATGACATGCCTAATGTGGAAGAAGCTGGAAGATGAGCTAGCTGAGCTCAGACTTGCTTTTCAATGTATCCACAAACCTCTTGGTAGTGGTCCCAGGATGAAGGAGACTCCTAGCTTTTAGACCAAACAAAGTATGCCCAGTACCAGGAGGATGCTGTCCATCTTTGTCACCTGGGCTATGTGGACACTGCTGTTGTGCAGTCACCATTCCAAGACTGGGTTGTTGTCATGTGCTTTCCTAGGGCTGTGCTCAGATCAATCTAATGACTGAGGTAGGTGCAGAAAATGTGTGCTTGGTAAGCAGAGTGAGAACTGGTATCTTCAGGGCTAGGACTTCAACCCACCTAGCCTGAGCTCCTGTATCATCAAATTACAGCTCATTCTCTCTGCAGGGAGTGCAAGAGCTCATCTTGAATTCAATAATGCACTTTCCAGAAAGGCAATCAAACCTGGATCAGAGGACAGAAAGGGATAGAGAATACACTCCTTTAGTATTTTGTTCCAGAGAATAATCACTCTGTAACAAATATGAACCAGATGATTCATTAGAATTTTTCTAACTCCAGCTCTCAGCATTGTTCTGGTTCCTGCTATGCCTTTTCCCCCTTGATTAAAGCTCTTAAAACTGGTGTTTTTCTCCCCATGTTAGAACTTGCACAGTGTAATCAACCTGCCTCTCAATACCCTTAACAGCCAAGCCCAGCAATGTCTCTGAGCTAGAATCTGTGCTGTTCCTCTTAAAAGTAGCTCAGTTATATGATTCATCCTGCCAGTAAAGACCATTCTATTACACTTTTTCCAGTTCCCTCTGCTTTCTCTTTACATAAATCTCATGACATGGATGCACTGGCATCGTCTCTGTTTGTCTGTGAGTTTTCCATGAACAGTTGAAGGTGTTAGGGTTGGCTGCAGGACCCTGTATGTCCACATAACTCACTGCCCAACCAAGGTCTTTGTGCTGTATCTGTGGTTGTCTCTGAGCTGAAACTTCTCCCCACATCAGGAATAAAAGGATGCTCTTCCATGCTCCTTCAGGAGCATGAACATTGCTGCATGTTCAATGGCCAGCAGAAGTCTGCCTAGTCTTTGGAACATATACGTTGGCCTTTAATAGTAAGTTGGTGTTTGGGATGATTTTTTCTTTTCTTGGGGATTTGCTGGATTGAGGAGATTTGGAGAAGTCACTCCCTAGTCTTTTTAGGCAGTTATTCTAATGTGCATTAAGCCACCATGGCTCCAGTGTTAGCTGTGTTTGTGTGCTTGATACTGGTTAAATGAAAAGAAAAAATGAAATTAAACACCTGTTCCTTAAGAAAACTGTGCTTTCTTAGCTGCTTTCAGGAGAACCATCTGACCCAAGATACTAAGGTCTTTAATTTTACCCTACCTTTTAATCTCATTGACATTTTCTGAACATTGTTTTCTGTGTGCAGAGCCTGGGGTAGACCAAGCAGTGAGAAAATAGACTGTGAGAGTCTAATAGCAGAGAGTAGAATAGACTGTGGAGCAGAGCATTTGTATCTGAGGGCTCCTGGACCCTTTGGCTGCTCTCTGTGGGACTCCTTGAAGTGGCACTTCAGCTGTGTTTAGTGCCTGACAAGTTAAAAAAACCATGAGTTTTGCCTCCACTGCTGAGCAAGCCAAGTGGTCCTTGTGAAGCCATTTCATTTCTTTTTTTCCTTTTTCTTATTTTCTTCCTTTTCCTTTTTTTCTTTCTTTTTCTTCTTTTCAGTTCTACCATTTTCTGTTGGTTTTGGTTGGTTTGTTTTTGTGTTTCCTTTTGGGCTATATAACATGTGAGCACCGTGACTTAACCAAATGAGGTACACCACTAGAATTCTGAAATTAGTGGGGGCATGAATAAGCACTTTTGTCAATGTAACTGTTCCCATATACATCTGAACTGCAGATGCTGCTATGGAGCAAAAAACAATCCCCTAGACTTCAATAAGTCAACCTGAACATTATCATTAAACCTGATATGTTGTTTCTGTTTTGGGAATGAACTCTGCAACATCTGTGCAGACCCATTCCCAATGGTCTGCACTGTCACCTCTCACAGTCTGGGAGTGTCACCTATCACCGGAAATGGTGTTTGCTCCTCTCCTCAGAGGCGTTGCACAAACAGCCCTGAATTGCAGGTGACTCACCAAAAAGTGCCCTTTTCTCTGGTAGCATCCTGAGGGTTACGTTGGTGGTATCTCCCCAGATTTCTGGCATAGTCTGAATCTGGTGTCATTGGTGGGCAGGGTGTGACACAGCCAGGTATGCTGAGCACACACACACACACACACACACACACACACACACGGGTTGTGCTGCAAGCAGCTCTGTGTTCCTCAGGGAAAGGCAGGGGGGATTTCTTTAAATACCCGAGAGACAAAGACTTTAATCACGACACATTTTCTTAGGTAATATCAACAAACTGAGAGAAATCTGAAATTGTAACATGCTGGTTTTGGACATGTGTTGGTTCTCCAGCAGCCTTTTTATTTCTCTGGTTTTAGTTACCTTTTGTAGTTTTATGACAGGTATGACAGGCTGGAGCCACTCTGCTTGTGAACACTTTTATGTCTTTGAAGATTCTCCTTTTGAAATGAAATGTTTCTTGGCCGTTCTTAGCTCAAAGGTGGAACTTTATAGGGAGCGGGATGGAACTGTTTGCAGTGGGGGGAACTCCAGAGCAATTTTACTTCCTTTGAAGATGTGTGTTGCTCCTGAAGCTACTTTTGTGGAATAGGAAAATCATCTGGGGCCAAGCAGGAAGTTGTGAGGTCTGTGGCACATCCCAGTGAGCCCTCGCCCTGCATGGCACTGTCCCTTCCCTGCCCAGGAAACAGCTCTGGGCACTCAGGATAAGCAAGAAGAACTTTTGGACAGATTTATTTTTAAAATCCACATCTGAGGGTGGGCCCGCACAACCCCCATGGAGTTCATTGTTGGGTACAAGCTGGTATGCTGGAGCCATTGGTTTTGTTTGGTGGGTTCGTTTTTCTTCCAGCTACCTCCACGCTTCCACCCACCCGTGTGTTTGAAGCTCGTTGTGCAGTGCTGAAGAATAACAAAGGCAGATAAAGGAAATTCATTACATGACCCAATGCTCTGGTGATGCTGGGTAGGTAAGACCCGGCCACTCCCGGGCTGAGGTGAGCTGCGGGAGAATCCCCTCACAGCCGGGCTGAGGGATCACCTGAGGCGGACAGAGGGAAAACCTCCTCATGCCCGGGTTGGGCTGAGGGAGAATCCCCTCACAGCCGGGCTGAGGGATCACCTGAGGCGGACAGAGGGAAAACCTCCTCATGCCTGGGCTGGGCTGAGGGAGAATCCCCTCACAGCCGGGCTGAGGGATCACCTGAGGCGGACAGAGGGAAAACCTCCTCATGTCCGGGCACGGCTGAGGGAGAATCCCCTCACAGCCGGGCTGAGGGATCCCCTCAGGCGGACAGAGGGAAAACCTCCTCATGCCCGGGCACGGCTGAGGGGGATCCCCTCAGGGCCGAGCTGAGCTTTCTGAGGAACCGCCTCAGTCTGAGGCGGGCTGAGGGAGAACCCGCTCCTGGCTGGGCTAAGGGATTCCCTCAGGGCTGGAGGGACACCCTGAGGGCCACATTGAAAACAGATGAGGTGCCGACCTGAAGCGGCTGACGGACCCCTCAGGGCCGGTCTGAGGAGGCGCCCCGAGGCGGGCTGAGGGGACACCCCTACGGACTGGTCCCTGGACGGCTGAAGGGCCGGTACAGAGCACAGCTGAGGGGGCACTGGTTAGGGCCGGTTCAAGGGCGGCTGAGGCGCCGCCCTACTGCACCGCCCCGGGCCGGCCGCACGGACCCCTCGGGGCCGCTGGGGCGGGGCGCGCACGGCCGCCGGGGCGGGGCGCGGGCAGGGGCGGAGCCTCCCCCGGCCCCCGCCCCGCCGGCCCGCGGCCCCGCCCGGGCTGTCAGAAACCGGCCTGTCCCGGGCAGGCTCGGGGCGACCGCGGGATGCGGCGCTGAGCGCGCTCCGCTCGCTCTCTCCGTCTGTCCGTCCGTCCGTCCATCGGTCTCCCCGCCCGGGCTCCCGCACGCCGAGATTCCCTCCCGCAGCCCATGATGTGCCTGGAAAGCGACGGGTCCTCCGGCAGCAGCCCGGTCTGCGGCGGGCGGCTCCGAGCTGGCGACGAGGAGGAGGAGGAAGACGGCGAGCGGGGCTGCTGCGGCCGGGGTGCCGAGGGCGAGGTGCAGACCCTGTCGGGCAGGATGAACCCCCCGGCGGCCGGCAAGCACCCCGACCGCCCCGCCGCCCTCCGCAAGGCGCCGACCCTCGGCCGGGCCCGGGTAGCGGCCGCCGGCATCCTCAGTGTGGGCAACGTGCTCAACTACCTGGACCGGTACACCGTGGCAGGTGAGCGCACCCCGCGGCTGTGAGGGCATCCCCCGCTGCCCGGGGACAGCCCTTCCCGGGCACGGTGCAGCCGCCGCCGTCCCCAGGGTTATCGTGGGCTCGGGTCAGCGGGGCTCGTCCGCCGTGCCGGGGCTGGGGAGGAGGGATGGCGTGAGGGATGCGGCGCGGCCGGTGCCCATTGTGCGGCCCCTCCGGTATTGTTCTCTAGTTTGTGTGAATTTTATCGAAAATAAGAGGAGCGCCCTTTGTTTGTGTGGGCTCGATGAAATGGAATGGGTGCTCGCTGGGATTCGGGAGGGACCGGTGTCCGCAGCGCGGTGAGAGCGGAGGGCGCTCGGCGAGGCTCGGGGTGATGGCAGACGCGTTATCGATCCCGGCACAGGGCGAGCGCTGCGGGCGACAGGTGCAGCTGCGGCCGGAGAGACACACACAGCCTGCTGCCACACGGGGGGAGACGGGCGAGCGGGGTGTCCTTGGGTGAAAATCGCAGCGAAGCAAATCCCCTTTGCTTTGTTTCTGCGGAGTGCGTCCAGCCTGGAGCAGCCGGCTGCCCTTCAGCCCTGTGCCAAGGAGGGTCCCTTCCCTGCAGAACTCCCGAGCGGGTGACAGCAGAGCTGGCAGGAGCGGGCGCAGGAGGAGCGGCTAGGCAGCTGCAATGCACTTTGCAAAGCTCGGTTTTCTGAAGGTAAACACTCAAAATCATGCGCTGGTGGATGTGTGACCAGCCGTAGTGAGTGAGCCACTATGTTGTTCCTCAGTACTCACTACTACGGTGAAGCTCAGCTCCAAAGCAAATGTCTGTTTGGGTGTTTACTGTGCCATCCCTAGAGAGGACTCCTTGTTTATTCTTGTCAGGCAATAACAGCAGGGAAGAAGATCATCACTGAACTTTTTCTAATTAGAAATGAAGTAGGCTTGTTGGTAATCAACTGTCTCATGTCATTAGAATATAATACATATTCTCTGTTTGGCAATACTGATAATTTTATCTTTAGAGCTTACAAAGGGGTTTGTGCATGTATAAATGTTTCTCTATGCATATATATGTTTTAATCACTAGGACTCAATGTGGTGTTAAGCAAATCCAATATTTGTTTATACTACATTAAAATAATATATGTTTGTAGGGCAGTGATAGAGAGCAAGGGACATAAATCTAAATCACTGTTGTTAGAATAAATTGGCCAGGTTGTATTTATTTTGTCTGGAGTAAGGAGATGGGGAGGATTAGAAGGAGAATTTAGCTGGCACCATTGTGGCTTTTTTGTTTTTCTTTTTAGATGTGGCTTGTTCCTTCAGGAAATGTAAAGGCCAGTATTGGAAGATATTAAGTACTCAGCTGGTAGTCAGTCTGTTACAGAAGGAAGCTTGAAGATAGAAGGTTAACCTGTTATTGTTGAAGGAAATTGTAGTGTGCTCCCTTGCCCTCAAATAGGGACCTCTCTAAGTGGAGTTTTTCTACAAAGCACCTTTAATGCATGGCAAGTTTCCTTTTTAGGAAGCTATTCCCCCCATCATGCAATCTTAAAAAAAAAATCACATCTAGTTCACCTGTTTGCTTTAGCACTTCCACCGAGACATTTGCCATCTGATTTTTCTGCCTGCAAGAACTGAAAGCATCTTCTTTTCTGGAAAGGCTGGAAAGTGCCTGACCAAGCAGAAGATAAAAATGCCTGCTTACTGTAATGTGGCATTGCCAAACCCAGTGCTGTGATTGCTGGTATTCCTAGGACAAGCTCTGGTATTACTGTGCTCAATAACTGCCCTGTGGAGCTTATCTATTAACATTCAGCTTGGTATCAAAGGTTTCAGATCTCAGACATCAGACTTGCCTTTGGGGACAGAATCAAACTTTGCATGGGCTTTTTGTCTTCTGTCAATTGGTATTTACTTTTCAAACTGGTCTTATATAAAGTGCTAATCTAAAACATGAAATAATTTAAATCCAGTGTAATGGAAGAGTTGTGGTAATAAAAATTATATGTTTTGAGCTCAAAACTGACTTGATTATAAAGTCTTCTCTAAAAGTAATCTTTACTTTTGTATTTTGAGTCTTAGTGCATACCACATGCTTATGTGATGTGCACTTGCAGATGAATCAAGCTAGCACTTTGAATATGCAGCTCATGTCTCAAGACAGGTAATAATTAGTAAATACAACTCTCCAGACCTTCAAAGTACATTTCAAATATGAATTGTTGCAGCAACGTAATAAGGGATTTTAACACCAGCCACGTTATGGCAGGGGAAGTAGCGTCAGAAGTTATGATTTACCTAAGGCCAGTGGATGTTGTGAGAACTGGAATTAATTTCTGGTTCCAGCTCTATTTGAAACAAGTGTTAGAAGAGCAGCAGTTCCAATGGAAACTGGTTCCTGAGGATTTGTCTCCAGGGTGATCCCTGCTGTGGATTCTCTGATGTCAAATAAGTTGACCTTTGTCATTAGCCTTTCTCTTCTTGTCTTATAAAAGTTGCATCTACCCAATCATTTTTTTAAAATGAAAGTGTTGGAAGCTTTGGGACTTCTTCCTGCTGTCACATTTAGTTAAAGGTAGGTCAGTGGCCTCAAAAGCAATTAGCAGGCAGCTGACAGACAGACAGACATAAGCAAACAGAGTATCCAGCTGTATGGGCACAATACTCCAAGTACATCCTCTGTCTAACTTGAGAACTTAGTTGCAATCATTTTAGTTGGCCAAAAAGTGTAAGAAAAAGCAAGTATATATTTAGTGTGTGTATATATATATATATATATATGTATAACATACATAAATAAAAATTTTATATCTATATATGTAACAAGTATATGCAAGTATGTATTTATTTACTGGGGGGGGAAATCATATACAGAGTTCTTTCCAGTTGTAATTTCCTGAGTATCTTCCACTGTTTTCTAACACAGCCTCACAGAAGCTGGGTGCCATGTATCCAGTCAATGTAAGAGCATCTTATGTAATAGAAAGAACTAGGCTGACCTGTCCTATAGCACATCTTGCCCTTAAAAGTAAAAAAGCTTTTGCATTGCTACAAAGCAAACAGCAAATGTGTTGTTTCTTGGTGTTTGCACTCTGGAAACATAAACATTGTGTAAAATGAGTTGGGTTTGGGTAATCTGTTTTTTCAAGTGCAACACACAAGGAAGTAGCTGCCTGTTTTCCTGGTTTTGGTTTAATGACTTCCCAGTATGGACTAAATGAGCTTATGATGGGATGTGCCTTTTTGGTATCTGGGACAGAGCTTGAGTGCAGTTTCCAAGATACAGGGCACACACAGCTTCACACCTGACACTAAGTTTGCAGCTTTTTTGGGAATACATGATGAAAATGGGCCTCCACTGAGGACTGGCCTGTTTCTTAATGTTTCAGAATGAGTTTCTTCCAGTACTTAAAAATAAAGAGTCTGCACAGCAGTAGTGTGTATTCCAATAAGGTCCTTATGTTTACAAAGAGTTGGAAATTTCCAGCGTGTGTGGAGTATGTGGAACATACTGATACTTGGGAAAAGCAGTCCCAGACAAAAAGTGCCAGTGCTGCTACTGTGGCTCTTGTAAAGAAAAGATTGAAAACTCAATCAGTGCTGAGCATTACCAACTTGAAGGGAAATGATCCTCTGCAATTTTCTTAATGGGTCTTTGACCATACTGATAACAGCTGCCTGTGGAGAAAGCATTCTTTCAAAAGCTGTGATATTTTGCTGTTATTAGGACAGCAAACAAGGGGAAAACAAAAATAATGAAACCATTGCAGTTTTCCTGTGAAACTGCACGGGATTTCAGCCATCCCATGATGCTAGGACATATCTTCTTCCTTAATGAAGTTTTGGGAAAAGTCATCTTGCCTTCAGAAGCTTGGAATGTGGTTTCACAATTATACCATGGGTGACCTTTTACTGTGCCTGCTGTTGACGATGAAAATATTCTTGCTTCATTAGGGTGTCACCTCCACCTTCTAATTCAGATGCTACTTCCTGGCATTTCTGTAGTGCTTTAATTTAAAGGTAACGATTTAATTAAGCTGGAGAACTACCCAGCAAAGTAAATGAGTCTCACTATCCCACTACAGAAGGGGAAACCAAGTAGTAGAATGTTGGTGATTTGCCTGTGGTAATGGAGTTAGTGGCAGAGCCTTGGCTGGTATCAGTTCATCCTTGAGGATCTCCATCCCTGTCACACAGTATGTCACAGACTTTGGTCTGCTGGTTTTGTCCTTTAAATGTCTGCAACTTGCTAATAACTGTATTTGTGTTAATTAGCCTCTCATTACAACACACAGTTGCAAATCAAATGCCATTCTTTGAAGATACACACATGCAAATGATCACTGAAAGTTGAAAGTCGAGTTTACAACTATGTAGTACAGACTCAGCTGAAGGGTTAGGAAAGGTTCAGCACTAACTCTCAAGTGCAAAGACATTCAAGAGCTTTGTGAGCCACAACTGCTTCTTTTTGCTTGTGAGCTCACATTTCTGACAGTGACATAGTGCCCCATTGAGGGTATCTTAGTGAATGTAGTCAGAGAATTCACGTGGAACGGGATAAAAAGAGCCCCTTCTCCCCTTGTAACAAGACTATGCTCAGTGCTCATAGCTTCAGGGAGGGAAGTATTAAGAGGCTGTGCAAGCACCCAGGACACAGCTCTGGAGGGGCTGTAATGCTGGAAAATATTAGAAAATGATACTGACAGAATGCACTTGAGGCAGCAGTGCTGCCAGCTCACACGTGTGAGAGTTGGTGAAAGGATGACAGTGTTTTACTTGGGCAGCAGGGACCTGCTACTGACTCAAATTCAACAAGTCCTGCTTTGGGAGCAGAAATTAGACTTGAACCTCATGCCTTCAAAAGCAGGAGACAAAGTGCTCTGCAGCACAGTGATGGGGACTGTGCCACAGCATCTTGTTCCCTGGTGTTGTTTTCCCTGTGTGATGGGCTTTATTGCAAGGGCTGCTGCTTCCTCTTTGCTGATTCTTATGCGAGTTGGCAGGGTTTGTTCCAGAGTATTTTA